GACGGTTACATGTTACTCGTTCTTCAGCTGGAATGTTCTGTTTTACATATTCAAGTAATTCAACTTCACCATTACTTAAAAGTCTAATAACACAAATTTCAACTTCTAAATCATTAATTAATCTCTAATAATATAAATTTCAACTTCTAGATCATTATTGCTTAATAATACCAATTTCACCGATGCAAGTAAGCTATTCAAATTTGTTCTAAATTATTATTGTCTAATAATACGTACGGTAATTCGTATGTTGGACTTGGTACAACGCCCCACGTTCACATTACTAACATTATTTGAGATGAGAGGAATAAAAAATAAGATAAGAAAGACAATTACTATAGTTGTGGAGCAAAAAATAATCAAGAAAATTATGGAGACGACAAGTGAATTTTTTGGTAAAAAGGATAAGATTATCGCATCCACAAATTGGTGTTTTCATTGAGAGTTTGATTCATACACTCGAAGAAGACTATCGCATTCAACGTTTCTAATTTTTCTTCGTTCATTCGTAAATTTTTCCCACGTATTCCTACTTCTAGAATTTTTTATAAATTCTTTGAATAGCCCTGGAAAGAAATACGATGATGGAAAATTTATGAAACAACAACAAAAGGCGCTCCCTACAAATTTGGGTTTTCACCCATTTAACAGATCGCGGAGCAACGAAGGCTGCCACCACCCACTGCAACTGTCGTGGCCCAATCAACCCTCGGTGCAATTTTTGCAGCGCTCAAAACCCAGCCCGTGCTGGTGTAACCTGCAGCCCAATTCCAGAAACGGCCCAAGCTTGAAGGCCCATGGAAAGACCCCTGCAGCAGCCTTTATGGCGTGGCTCAAGCCAGTAATGCAACCAAGCCTAGATGCCGAGCCAGCTCGCTGAGCCTCCAAGATCAGGCTCTAATGGCCCACTCCACGCAAAGCTCAGCGCGCCCAATCCAGCGACCACCGCGGGCCTCTCTACGCTCAAGCCCAGCAACGGCTACAGCAGTAGCCCACGTGGAAGCAGCCCATTTTAGCAGCTTCATAGGCCCAATCTGCGCACTCCAACAGCCTAGAAGGTTGACCCGTGCTCCAGACCACCCACGCGCCCTAACCCGGATCCGCGTTTCTTTACCTCTAGGTCGACCCTTTGGTGATCCAAACCCATTTTTTCAATTTTTTTGACCTATTTTATGTAGATTTGGCCCATTTTAGCTCAAATCTCACGCCCGCAGTCCATTACACTTCCACCACTCAAGAAGATGCATATCGTCCAAGTTATTCCAACCCAAATGGCAAACAATACTTGTCTCGACAAGTCATAGAATTGACAAGCGCCCTCATGCAGCAGACAACCTTGGTGAATCAGCTTTGTTGCGTACCGAGATGCAACATGCCCTAGACGAGATGTCCCAAAGTAGGACAAGGGCAGACGACAAACCTCTTTAGCAGCGTCCAAGTAAGCAGTCCTTCGATTAGCCACGAACCAAGCGTTCGAGCAGTGTACACTCCCAACTGGGCCCCCGAGATAGCGTATACTCTCGTCTTAGCGCATAGAGGAGCGTGCACTCTCAGTCAGGCCCATGGAAAAGCATACACTCACGGTTGAGTGTTCATTCACGGCTAAGCCCGCAAGGAGCATCATCCACCTCACATCAGAGTAGGTAGCACGATAGACGGAGACAAGCAGTCACACAAACCGACTCAAGTTCAACCGGCAGCCTACGAGTAATTCGGTCGCCTACTAGGAACGTACCACATGCACCGCAACCGCAGCAATAGAAGAGCCGAGCACATGGAAGAGCAGCCTAAACTAGCAGGTCACGACCAGGGGCAGCTGAGAGTTCTGCTACCCCCAACAAAGGAAAATTCAGAAGGAAGTAGAGAAGTTCCTAATCAAATGATTTTGCGATTTCCAACCGCAATGAGGTCACTGACGAGGCACTACGACGGGACATGACCAACATAAGCAAGTCATCATTCACGGATGAGATCTAGTAGGCAGAGCCTCCACACAAGTTTAGCATGTCACATTTCACATCCTTCAAAGGGGATGAAGACCCGGAGAAACATCTAAAGTACTACTAAAGCTCAATAATCCTCTATCGAAATAACAATGCTTTCATGTGTAAGATATCGCCACCACTGTACAAGGCGAGGTGCAAGATTGGTTCCACACCCTACCGCCAAAATCCATCTGGCATTTCGACAAACTTTCTTTGGTTTTCACTAAAGAATATTCATTCTATCGCTCGATCAAGAAAAACTAACCACTCGTTCAACATCAAGAAGAACCCAAAAGAGTCACTTTGTGACTATGTGAAAAGGTTTAAAGCAAAGAAGGCAAAGATAATCGAATGCAACAACTCGATAGCTTGTGCATCCTTTCAAAAAAAACTCCCAGCAGACCATCCGCTACTGGAAAATTGATCATGAAAGAAGATCTAACTCTGGCAGACTCATTCGCTCTGGTAGAGAAGCATGCACCTTGGGACGAGGCCCGACGAGCAAACAAGGCACTCGAGCAGCCTTGAAAAAAATCAGCAGTAGCTTAAAAGAAGGAAGACGGGAAAGAGTACAACAACAAAAGTAGGCAGAAAGCCAAGCAGCAAGGACCGATCCCCAACTAAAGGAGGTCTGACGCCAAAGAACTATTCTAAGTTCTCGATCCTGATCCACCAAATCCCCCACGACATCAAGAACAACTATGGTTCAAGCTGCCAAAGCAATCAAAGGGAGATATCTCTAAGTTGGACCACACTAAGTATTGTGCATTCAATCGTGGTCCTGGTCACACAATTGACGATTGCTACACTTGGAGGAACTACCTAGAACAACTGGTGAAAGAAGGCAAGGTCGACAGATACTTAGACAAGCCAGATGCGCATCCGAGAAAAACGTAGATGCCGACGAAGAACCGCCAACCAAGACAATCTGTATCAATGGCATCTTCGCCGAATTCGAGCGCCTAGGACCCACTAACAACTCCAAGAAGAGAAAGATCCAGCAGACTCTACTAGTCTCACAGTTCCAGGCATTTAACACCTAACCTAAACCCATCATTGGCTTCACCGAGCAGGAAGCGTCGATTTTCCACACGACAACGCACTAGTGATATCCGTCCAATTACCCCATGTTATAGTCGACAAAATGATGGTTGATAATGGAAGTGCAATCAACCTACTTCAGCTTTCAGTAATTCAGAAGATGGGGCTGGAAAGCACAATCATACTTCGAGCGAATGTACTCACTGGATTCAACGGACACACATTAACTACATCAGCAACATTACACTTGACATGAGAACACCGCCAGTTGTCTCGAAGCAAATGTTCACGATAGTAAGTGACCTATCTTCTTACAATAGGATTATAGGGCAACCTTAGCTGATAAAGCTGGACGTTGTAACCTCCGTCAAGTATCAAAAATTTTGATTATGCATCTCGGGATGAGGAATCAAAGAAATCAAGTCTGATTAGGCCACATCTCGACGATGCACTGTGCAAATACTGAATGAGTAAAAAAAAAAAAGACTCCTACCTTCGTAGAGGCTACTAAGGTCCAAAGGGACGACAAAGCTACCAAATAACAATCACATCTGACAGATCAAGAAGATTGTGTCTAAATAAATGCGCCAGCAAACGAGACAGGATGGAAACCCGAAGAGGACACCGAGCACATCATTTTTTATCCCCATCAGCTGAAGAAGACTACTAGAATCGGCTCACGTTTGAGCTCGAAAGAAAATGAGGAACTCACGGCTTTCCTTAGGGAAAATCGTGACATATTCGCACTGTCACCTTTCGACATGCCTGGCATTGACATAAGATAGCTTGCCACAAGCTGCACGTTGACCCTGCTGCCAAACCGATGATCCAAAAGAGAAGACATTTCGCACTCGAATGAGTGGAGATCATCGAAGTGAAAATCAACAAGCTATTGGAGGCCAGATTCATAGAAGAGATAGCACACTCAACGTGGCTTGCCAACATCGTGCTAGTAATAAAGAAAAAGAAGGGCAAATGGAGGGTTTGCGTAGACTACACCAACCTCAACAAAGCATGCCTAAAGGATCTTTATCCAATTCCCCAAATCGATCTACTAGTAGATTCTACTTTTAGGAACCAGTTGCTCAATTTCTTGGACGCATACTCCAGCTACAACCAAATAACCATGCACGAGCCCAACAAAGAGAAAACCGGGTTCGTGTAAGAGATTATGTTGTAATGTTTAATTAATTTAGTTATTCATGCAAGAGATTCTGTTGTAATTCAATACAAATTGGCATTTTGTTTGTTCAATAATATTTTACAATATAGAGCAGTTTGGGTTAGGCCATATAATGAGTTCGTTGTAAGAACAATGGCATTCCACGAACCTAATACACGCGAGAGAATATTCTATCATCTTTATGTTTGTTTGTTAGAGCCATCAGGTTTACGCTCTAATATTATGAAGAAGTTGATGTTCTACCATAAAACTAATTACAATTGGTAATTACATTCCTATAATACATGCAACAATTATAAAAATATTAGGAAGACTTTGGATACAGTTCCTAACTATTTATATTCTTTGACTAAAACCTTGTTGATTTTCAATTTTGATCGAAATCCTTGAAATTAATGTGATAATTTATTTTTATGTATGCTACTATATTTTTTTAGTTAAAAATTGAAATTTATAGTTGTTTATATTAATGAGATTTTAAATAAAAACCCATAATTTGTGCGATTAAAAATATTAGAATATAAATTATACTAATTTGTGGGATTAAAAATATTAAAATATGAATTATACTATTATGTGTGAAATTAACCAAAAAAATATTGTACCAAAACATGAGTACATTCTTCAAAACCACAATATATATATATATTCGATTAAGGAATATTACCATCAGAGTGAGGATAGCAGCACTTTTTAACTCTAGTATAACAGTTTAGCTCAACTAACGACAAGTTTAAGGAATATTACCATTAGAGTAGAACATTCGTAGAACTTTTGAACAAGAAATGTAGGGGACACTAAGGAAATACCCTCCAAAAGAGGCGTATGCTGCTTTAAGCGACGAACACACGGTATATTATTAAGTAAAAGGCGAAAGAATAGTTCGCTTTATGGTCACCGCACGGCTGCGTACGTTCAAATGAAATCTGCTGCTCGCCGAATGGCTGTGTATAGCGGCCATTGTATTGTAATATTTACCCTATCTATATACAAATCCAGTGTTAACTGACAGATCGTAGGTTCGAATCCAACTTGCGAAGATTTGGTTCATTCCAAAAGCGGAAACCGAAGCCACATCTACCAGAGCTAGAGGAGCATCCCTCCATATTTTCGGATCCTCGTAATAGCAAATAACAAGTCATTTGGTGAAATATTGGATATTTGGATGTAATCAAGGACAATTGTTCATCCAAAATGAAGGTTTGCTTCCTTCCTTCCGAACGATTATTGGATTTGAACGTAAAATGCTAAATGGACAAATAAGGATAAGCTAATATGGAAAGAGTCATTTCAGAGAGTGGGGTAAAATGCGGCCATACAGCAATCTCTTGCGTTCCCCCACATTCATACTTCTGTTCTATGACATAAATCTAGTGAAACCCTAATGCCCCAAATTTTCCCTACGCCTGAAGCAAACGCGCAACAGAGGCCCCGAAAGATTTGATTCGCGAAGGCTCGCTGCTTCCTCTGCTTCTGAAGGCACCCTCTCGCCTACCTTCTAACAAAAATACCGACTTTTTCCTATCATAAAAAAGGAAGACAGGAGGGCCTACGCGCCAGACCCATCAACCGACCACCTACTCACACTTGATGGACTTGTAAATGTGACGAACAAACAGCAAAGCTGCTCGGAAACCTACGGTGCCTAGCATGAGGAAGAAGCCGTAGCAAATGCAAGCCATGTAACCGAAGAAGAAAGACGTTTGCATAAAGCCAGTCATATCTGAACGGGCGTAGTAATAATACAAGCAATAGCCATAGATGAAGAGGCCAGTAGATCCACCGCATAGGAAAGACCTGTCGCAAACCAAGAACTCCCATTAGTCCAGCCACACAAGTGATAGAAAGAGGAAGACATAATAAATATATGCTCTGCTATATGTAGGGATGAAAACTCTATACTATCACACAAATTTCAATGAATAATAAGGAAGAAGAAAAATCATAATGCAGCAAGGCACAAATCATGATACAAATGGAAAGAAGAACTATGATGATCCGAAAATTGATTTGAGTCTCATTAATCCTTTCTAGGGAACATCAATAATCTTGTATTCGCCTTTGCATAATCGGAAGTATTAACTGTACTTTCTATGAAACATCATTCCTTGAATTTAAAAATAGAGCTCCCTCTGATGCTATCAATTACATAATCATGCTTTTCAAGAACCCCGTTAGTCTGTTATCAGAAGGTATAAGAACCATGAAATCACCCGTACACAGGATGGATCATGGAGAATATGATAATGATGAAATGCTCCACCCCTGTGAATTACAAAGCACATGTCGTAGATACCATACTTGGGACAAAAGCATGTCCTTGCTAGTCAACCTCTCATAAGATGGCCTACTTACAAAATACAGCAACATAGTGGCTTCATAGGAGTCACGAAGAGCTGGCTTGACATGGTCATAACTCAAAAGTAATGACACTAGTCACTGAAAGCACATAACATCATAGAGAAAACAACTTGAAAACCCCGAAGACCATTAGTACCAAACAACTTCATCTACTGAATTTCAGAAATTCTCATACTTCGAAACATATTATGAGCATTTCTTGTATCTTATTTGTTTTTGCTTCAAATCCACAGCAGAAGTTTAACTTAGAAAACACGTAACAAAAGAAAAAGCTTGAAACAAAACAGGAAACTAAACCTAACTTCTAGGATATAAGCAATGTAACCTAGAATAGAAGAAAGATTACGAGTATATATGGAAAACTCAATGCAAGAAAGATGTTTTTACCTCCACCACCACCCATGATCTTCGGCAGCAAGTTGGAAATAGGTCAAAGCCACAGTTATAAAGGCAGTGACAATCAAAAGAATAATAAATACAATAAACAGGATGCTGTAGATTGTGTAAATCCTGTGACCCCAGACGCTGGCAAATATGTAGTAAAGTTCAATGTATATTGCACTGAAAGGGAGAAACCCAGCCATTGCCATCTGAGGAATGGTAGTCCTGTACCATGGAAGAGGTGGAATTTCTCGAGGATACTTTGTGGTGCGAACAGGAGCTTGGAACTCAGCCTTGCTGTTTTTCCCGGCAATACCACCCAAAACAAGCAATGGTGATGTTACCAATGTCCAAATAAGAACAATTACCACAATAGTACCAAAAGGAAGAGCTGCGGTTGCACTATAAGCAATTGCAACAGTGTTAAGGAAGCAGAAAGTCAGGAACAGAGGCCCGCAGAAAAGGCACCCAGTAAGTAACAAATTTCTCACCTGTCAACCAGAAAATGGAAACTAAATGATTCCGTTTCACTTTAAAAGCATAAACCATAAGTTGTATTTGTCGCCGAACAGAATCCAGTTAACTTACCCAGTTTTTTCCTTCAAGCTGACAATAGAAAGAAGTTGCAGTATATCCCGCAATGCCAGAAGTCAGTGCATATATGACCACAAGCGCAGTGAATAAAGCGCCTCGGTTGTATGGATAAAATACACCAACCAGTGCGAGCATAAAGATGAATATTGTGCTGGAAATGAATAAAGGAAGAAAGGGTAGCCTTTAATACTAATATGTAATAAAACGAAATTCATACATCTAAAAAAATTGCAATAAGATCCTCACAGAGTGAACAGCTGGGTTCCAGAACCATGGGCAGCAGCAAACAAAGATTTGTGCTGGGGGAACCGGAAAACATCACCATGAATGTACTTCCATCCAGTCTCTTCTTGGTCATCAGCAGCTTCCTCATCTTGTGCATACCTTATTAAGAAATTAAATAAATGATAAGTGACAACAACAATCTAAACAGAAAACCCGGAGATTTTCAGAAAACATCAAGGCGCAGAAAATAAATCTCACTTCATGAAATCGTTCTTCAGGACTCGCATGAGAATCGTTGCAAGAAAACCCGTCAAAAGGAGAACCGTGACGCATGAATTTATGATTGAGAACCAATGAATTTCCAAGTGATGTGGCAGTGAAGAGGACTGTGAGTATTTATCCATTCTATTCTCGAAGGGAATGTTTGTATCCGACCATTTTACACTGTACATGAAATCTGCATCAACATCCTTGTCCTCTGTCAAGTCTACAACAGAATGAGGATCCATCTTGGCGGTGATTTCAATGACACGGTCTTTATTGTACCGAGCATCAAATTGGATATGCTTGTAAAGGAAATATTTGTATTCCCTCGGGTCAGTTTTTCCTTCCTTGTCAACCTTTCCCAAAAAGCCCCAGATGGGCAAATCATCATAATACATTTGGAAGTAGTAGTCTTTTTTCACAGCAGTTCGAAACTGCACAACTTCTTCCTTGGTCAGCATCGTTCTACAAGCAACCTCAGAGTCCTTATCTTTTCTGAACTCAAGATTATAGGGAGCACTAACAAGCCGATCCCCATTCAACACCTCTCCGAGCGCCTCCCTCTTCTCCTTCACATCACCTAACATTTACATCCATTTGCCAACAAATTAATAACCAAAAGAGGCAATAACACAGCAAATGCATCAAGAAACAAACTCCACGATCAGAACTGCATCATTATCATAATTTTAAAACCCAAAACTTTGCTTCCATCGATCAAAAATGTTTATAGGGACAATCACTCCGCAGTTCCCAACATATTAACTCCCCGAAATAGAAATTCCAGTGAAAATTCCGCAAGACAAGCCACTATTTCAGAATTTTATGCACATTTTTTCTAATTCGCAGCTAAAATTTACAATTACATATGGAACGAAGAATGTAAAGGCAAAGAATTTGAGATGCAAAACCTGCTGAGCAGAAGGGCAGATCAAAATACCGATACGTTTCGCTGCAACCAAACAAACAGATACAAAGATAGATTAATAATCTTCAAAAATCAGAACTTGCATGAAGAATTTCAGAAAATGGAGAACGAAATTCAGATCCGAAGTCAGATCTGGATGAGATTTGATAGGGTTACCTGGGGTTGTGGAAGGGGCCGACTTTGTTGGCGTAGAGGGGGACGGCGTCGCCTTCGTTGTAGCGGTGGTCGGAAGCGTCCGATCTCACGAGAGTGGCGGTGCACACGATTAGAACGGCGAGTAGAAGAGCGGTAGGGAGGTTCTTCATGGTCTCGACGGAGAAGAAGAAGAAGAAGATCGAGTGATATTTTTTCAACCGGAGAAAGTGAGCCAATGAACGAAGGAACTAAAGCAACCGGATAATTATATTTTTTTAAATAATTAATTTTACTCTTTTTTTTTTTCTCTTTCTTGTCAGCGACTCGGCAACAACTTCTGTTGTGGGATTAGAGGATCTTATATTTCTTTTTCTTTTCTTTTCTTTTTTTCTAGTTGCAAAAGGTATATTTCAATTTTACCGCATAAATATTTGGTGTTTTAATTAATTATTCAAAATCTAAACTTTTAGCCTATAAATTTTAGGTTTTAATCTAAAATAATGTTTGTTCTTGAATGATTTTGACATGAATTTTTGTTTGAGATCACTAAAAAATTAATTTAGGCAAAAAAAAAAAAAACTTAGTAACTTTTTTTTTTTATAAATAAGATTCATGTAGATTATTTTAAATTATTTTTATGATTATTTTAAATTAAAAATATTTAAATTACGATAAATATTAAAATTTTGATAAATCTACTCGCAAACGATTTTTCAATTGTTTTAGCATTTAGATTTAAATTGGAATCGTTTATTTTTTTTATTTATCGTTAAATTTGATCATATTCAATCTTAGGAATTGAATTGTTAGTTTTAATTTATAAATTAAAATTAAAAAAATTAATTTAAATTTGAACATTTAAATCAACGGCCCATTATTTTCAACTTTTTCATTCACAAATAGAAGTTTGGGCTCGTGCAAGTGGTCGACTAGCCTCAACCCGCTGGGTCCTAGCGCTGACTGGCATGTCGCATGTGTTTGCCAAAGCCTCCATAACTGTATTGGGCCTAGTTAATAAATTGGACTTTGACCTAAAAGATGAAGACATAAATGCTTGCTTGGATTAAGAAGCAGGCCCAAAACAAAACAAACCGCAAAGCAGATTTAGGCCTCACTCTCAGGAGCCCATTCTAAGACAACTTTTGAGCTACTCCAAATTGGAAGAAGAGGTTTTCGAATTTGAGTGTAAGAAGGCAAACACATTGGTTAATTAGCTTAACATGTATATGTACGGCTTATTTTTGAAGGTGGGGGGTGCTATTGTTTGTAGGGATTACTTATAAATATCACGACCTGTCTTGCCACCAAGAGTCGATCACCCGCCTTCGATTGGTGTTTTTTTTTTTTTTTGAGTACATCGATATTTTTACACTAAGGAAAATGAGAGTTTGGTTAAACCACACAATAGATAACCTATTTTTACACTATCATTTACAAAAAAGGAAACAAAATGACAGCTACCAACTTAGCAGCTCATTACGTGATGCTATAACATTATTCCAAAGAAGAAAAAGAAACACATAACAACCACTCTTTATGTGATGCTGTAATTATTCCTTTCGTAATCTTGGTTAGTACCTTAAGGAAAAGAAGGCAAACACATAGGTTAACTAGCTTAATTAACATGTATATGTACGGCTTATTTTTGAAGGTGGGAAGTGCTATTGTTTGTAGGGATTACTTCTAAATATCACGACCTGTCTTGCCACAAAGAGTCGATCACCCGCCTTCGATTGGTGGTTTTTTTTTTTTTTTTTAGTATATCGATATTTTTACACTAAGAAAAATGACATAATTGATGTTTTTTGCAAAGCATTTTAAATGTTTTTTTTTAAGAATTCACTTGCTATTATGTGTGATGCCAACAATTATCTGTTAGGTTTTGAACTTACACATATCATGATAAGGATACCTAAACGTGGGTTCAAACCAATTATAAGTCATGGCCATGTCAATAACTGATCTCCTAGAATTAACGGATATGGGACGTGATAAGGATGCTTGCATTGCTCCACGTCAAAAGAAACTGATTGCTGCAGTTCATAGCAGTTGCTATCCAATCATCTTGATAGATGGAAGTTGGAGAAGTTCAGTTCGATAAAATAAAGGATTCCCTGCTCACAAAGAACACGTTATGTAATTGTGAACACGAAAGTTCCTTGAAACAAGAAACAAGAATAACGTGTACAAAATAATATTTTTGTGTTTATGATTTTGGGGTTACGATCTCTCTCGAATTTGGTCCTCTGATTCTATCTTCGTAAGATGTAGATTTGTTGATCCAAGGGCCGTCGAGGCTTGATCTTGGATGAACAGTTGTAAGTTTCTTCAAGGGCCTTTGTGGCTTTGATCTTGAAGGTTGATGGAAGTTTCTTCAAGGGCCTTCGGGGCTTGATCTTGAATGTTGATGGATGAGCAGATCTTCAAGGGCTTTTGGGCTTGATCTTGAAGAATAGATGTGTGGATTTGTTTATTGATCCAAGGGGCCGTAGGGGCTTGATCTAAGGATGAACAGTTGATGAATGGATCTTCAAGGGGCGTTGGGCTTGATCTTGAAGAATGGGTGTATGGGTTTGTTAAGGTCGTTGATCCAAAGGGCCGTTGGGGCTTGATCTTAGGATGAACGGATGATGAATGATGAACGCTTTCTTCAAGGGCCGTTGGGGCTTGATCTTGAATAATGGTTGTGTGGATTTCTTCAAGGGCTTTTGGGCTTGATCTTGAAGGTTGATGGATGAGCGGATCTTCAAGGGCTTTTGGGCTTAATCTTGAAGAACGGTTGGTTTTCTTCAAGGGCCGTCGAGGCTTGATCTTGAATGAACAGTTGGTTTTCTTCAAGGGCTTTTGGGCTTGATCTTGAAGAATAGTTGTGTGTTCTTCAAGGGCTTTTGGGCTTGATCTTAAAGAACGGTTGGATGTGTGGATTTGTTGATGTTGTTGATCCAAAGGGCCGTTGGGGCTTGAGCTTAGGATGAACGGATGATGAACAATGAACACTTTCTTCAAGGACCGTCGGGGCTTGATCTTGAGTTGGTGTAAGTTCTTCAAGGGCCGTCGGGGCTTGATCTTGAATAATAGTTTAACGAAGAACGAAGAGAGAGCTTTCTTGATTCTTCGGAATTCTTGGGAATTTGGATGGTTGGAAGCTTTGGAGTTTCAAAGCTTCAAGGATTTGGGGAATTCTCTTCTAATTTTGGAGTAGAGAAATGTATTTGTGAATTCCTTGATGCTTGATACCTTGATGGAGAAGCCTATTTATAGGCTTTGAGAATGAATCACCACCACAAAATATTTTTTTCTTTTCCAAGCACCATTGCATAATTTTCCCACTTAATGCAATATTGAAATTGAAGTGGTGTAACTTATTGCCTAATTTCCCACTTAATACCATTTAAAACTTGAAGTGGTGTAATTTATGGCCTAATTTCCCACTTAATACCATTTTAAACTTGAAGTGGTGTAACTTATGGCCTAATTTCCCACTTAACACCATTTTAAACTTGAAATGTGTATGCTTTGTCATTGCCCAAATGAGAAAAACTTGCTTTGATCCGTAATGGATTGAAGTATGCTTGCCTTGTCATTGCCCAACATGAGAAGAAAAACTTGTTTTGATCCTCAATGGATTGAAATGTACTTGCCTTGTCATTGCCCAAAATGAGAAGAAAAACTTGTTTAATCCTTCAAGGGTATTTCTTCCTATTTTGTTGAGTCACACGCCACGTGTACAATTTGTACAACACGTGGCGTATGCCATGTATGCCTTGACACGTCAAAACTTTAATGCATTGGTGAACATTTTTTTTACTGAAATTTCGGTGTCTACAGTAATCAGGGTCCTATCACCATTGGAACATAAGGTCTTGAGTGAGTAGAAGAATTCTTATGTGTTACCAGTAAACACAGCCTGCACCAGGTTTTTCAGTTGGTGTTGCTGGGCAGATGGGTTCTCAGGTATGGTCGATCTCTTTTTAATGCCAACTCTTGTAATGTTATATGTAAGATATGTTGTTTGTGATCCTTGTTGAAGACTAACCATTTATAGTTCCTACATTATCACGTTTCAAAATCTTGTATAATCAACCCTTATACAAGATACTGAAACATGGTAGTTGTTGGCATCACAAACAATAGGAATGGAAATGAAGCCACTAGGTATATATGTTTAATGGTATATGGCATCTTCAATTCAAACACTACTTCTTTATCAAGCTACAAATTTACCTGTTTTCACTCATTCGATTGCATAAAAGTTGGCACTTGCATTGTGAAATAAGGAATTTGTCTTGTTTCTTGTGATATTTCCGTACACTACAACTAGCTAAAGCAAAGTGATAGGTAACTCAAGTTTAGTTGGTTTGAAGGAAATTTTCTTATTTCTTGCCATGCGATGTTATTGCGGGATTGCGAATGTAATATTTAATATATATGTCGTGACATGTATTTTGTTGTTGATGAGTTGGCTAACCTGAGCTTCTCTCATCCTTTGAGTATGGTCTATTTTGAGCAAGTTTTATCTTATGCAAGCAATTATCATTGTCTGATATTTCTAAAGTCTCTTTTGAACTCGTAACATTAGCCCCTTTGTTTAACCAAAAAAAAAGTGACAAATTTGATGGCTCTTGTGTAAAGAGCATTTATTCTTGAACCCCAAGGCTTTCCCCTCTGACTTTATATTATCATCTAAAACCATGAGTATTTCAGTTACGATTTTTCAAAATTTATTCTCCTAGACATTTAACTATTAAAACTTTAATGAAGAATGAAGTTTTAATCGTTAAAATATCGAACAATAAAATACATCACAGCGGCGGAAAACTTTTGGTCCAAATATTGCATCGGAGACAACTTGGCGAAAATAATGATGAAGAAATTGCTTAATTTGGCTGCCGACAATCCGTCTAGATCTGTGATTAGTAGACAAAACATGGAAAAATAAATAAAAAATAATATTAGTAGGAGGACTCTGAATTCATCATTCACAAATTCCGTTGTAAAAAATAGAACCAGATTCCTTCCGTACTCAAAGGAATTGAGTTCAAGAATCAAATGATTCGGACTATTGAAATTTGATCCAACATCTACAATTATTATAACTTTTAAAGATGATTTCTGTTTGTAATCGTTTGATCAAATTTCAATGATCTATATCATTTGATTCTTGAGTTTAGCTCGTTTGAATCCGAAAGAGATCCGATTCTGTAAAAAATGAACGGTGGGCGTCACATTTCGAGGAATTTCACTCGCTGAGTAAAAACTCGCCTT